TTAATAAAATCAATCAATTATAACTTAAATAATTCATGCACTGTTCTTGTATTATATTTGTTCAATATCGATTACATTCACAAGCGATTGGAAGCAAACACAACATTACTGTATTCAGTTATTGAATGAAAAAAGTATATGTAAGTATAACATATGCAGATTAGGCAATGAATAAAACGAATAAATTATATGCATCCGTACAATTAAAAGTACAATATGTTTACAGTGTCGGTATATTTCTGCTGCATCATATGAAATGAAATCAATTAAAAACAAAATTGTCACTGATCATTCTTGCCCTTGGACAGAACGTCCCGTAGAACACAATAAACCAGTCTTTGTTAATCGGCTTCTTACTCAATCTATCTGCTATGTAATTCAACAGCATTTGATAACCATAGACAAGTTTGTGGATATTTAATAAAGTTGTCAATTTGAAAATATATGTGGAGCAGCTGTATAAACACCAAGCGATATAAACATCCGCATTCTAGAAGTATCACTGGTGAATTAAACACAGCCATTTTGTGGTGTCACAGTAAATATTATTGGCATTGTGATAAAGATAAATGTGTTCGAGAACTAGAGTCATGGCCAACTGGAACAGAATGTTATCAGGTTCATAGATTGCTAAATAATAACATTGCCATGAAAAAAGGTGCGCAAAGTAAAAAAAACACAGACTATAAGTTGGCTGTTGAAAAATAACTTACTCTTAGCATATATTGAGCCATGTCCATCCGTAAATAAAATCACGGCGATGTTTTTAGTATTTGTAAAATAAATACAAATATAATGTAAATACGTAGTTTGTTTACACCAAAAATGCCCTAACCTCAAGTTATATTCGTCTGACGTCCTTATTCATTGAATCGACATGGACTTTGAGGTTTAGTATAGTAGAGGGTTCTGTGCTATAAACTACGTTTACAGTTATACAGAGAATTGTCCGCCTGATTTTGTATAATTGTTCACCTCTTTATCTAGGTCAGTAAATTTATATTGAGGTACTGAAAGGATAAGTTAGAAACCGTTAATGCTCTGTAAATGTGAAATTATGTCTTTGTCAGCTCCTTTATTCTATTGTTTTTGTTAGTAGCTTTGCGATAAGTGGCTTTCGCAGCAAGTGGGTTTCGTCTCGGGTGGCTTTCGGGGGGAAGTAAGGCTTTGTCGCAGTAACTGGTACTTTCATCGTTGTTGAGAATTAGAGATTTATGTTTCTTTAACAACTGGTGCTATTCAGGTAATAAAATCCTTAGAAGCTATTAATTTGCCTTTATGTGTTGTGCAGTTGCTCTGGCAAGAGTTCCACAATAAGACGCATGCTATGATAATGCCCCGAGTTTCCAATACCAATAAACATTTGACCATTCATAATGGGCTTTGCATCATGTATTTGTATACTGCTTATTTACATACTGTAATTAATGATTTTATTGGTGTTGCAAATGATAGTTGAATATTGTTTATTGAAATTAATAATCCCCATAGCAATTTTCTAATATAGATACATCATAGTACAAAACAAATGTATAATTCATTCTGAACAATGAAATAAAGAAATACATATATATTTAAGGAAGCGAGAAGAGTTTGATGACGTTTTTGGGATAAAGCATTCTCTGCCTTTTGTCTCAGAGCCGGAATGTAGCAAATGGCGAATCTTGTAAAAATCACTAAATTGGCGATTACGAGACAACACTGTGGAATTGCCAGGTTAAATTTGTGCACCGCTTGTCCATATTCAAGTTCATTGATATGTGTCCCCGATAATCAAAAGACACATTTTTCCGATTACTACGTGTTTTTGTGCCCTAAATATTTTATACGTTTTAACCTACTTCTATTCTATGACAAACCATGTTCTTAAAATACCCAGACTTTTTTCGCGCCATCATTATATTGTGATTAATTAGTGCAAGTTTGAATGTCCTAGCCCGAACGCACTTGATTTGACGGCGGTCCCAATGGGCCGCACTGAAACAAAAATTAAACTCGAGAAAAACGCGAAAAACAGTTTTGTATAATAAAACACTGAAGATTTGAGAGGGCCACCCACAGAACTCACAATGGACAGGGGTTCTTTCACTGCTAGAATGGGGTAGACAAGACAATAGTACTGGAAATGAAATACACAAACATCAAAATATCGAGTTAAAGCTCCTGGCTTTAATACCTCTCAAACTAATTACAAGAAATAAACCAGAGAAAAAAAACAATGAATAAAGTCACTAAAATAGGGGATTGCTTAGGGAAGTGTGCATTGGTGATAGCTCACAGTTCCAGGATGTATTAATGGACGACAGTCAATGGCTTCTGCAACACAACAACGGAGAAATACAGGAGTTCTGCTTGGAGAGCAATGCTGGTATTCTGGAGGGCACCGCTGAAAGCAGGAGATCGCAGAGCAGTTCATACAAGTCTCACAGAATGATGGTTGTAGCCTGTAATATCGTATCGTAGCAGAACACACAGGAAAGCAAGTTGAAGTGACGGACACCAAGTTGTAGTGATCGACTTCAACTGTCTTTAGTCTGTCCAATTTATAGACAGTGATACCACCTGGGTTTCGTGATGCGAAACATGACAAATAGTTATTATGCCAGAATGTCGAAACTTTATTTCTAAACTGCAACTATTATTGTGATACTAATAATGTAATAATGTTTCCAGTTAATGAAAAATTAAACAATTAGCTTTATTGGAATAATTATGGTACAGTATGGTTATGTATGTATGCTACATAACTGACGCAATACTGTACTACTAATTTTCACAGTGCAGTGTGTCGTTGATGATTGATTCACCTTGTTGGCTCACTCACATGTTTTATTTGAAAATAATTTAACTAATCGACGTATCGACGAGTAGCCGCGAGTATTTTATATTTCGATTCAATTGATCGTAAGCTAATCAATTTATTAAATGGATTCAACACTATATTATGCTTGCTTTATACACATCAGCAACTAATACCCCTAACATATAACGTCAACTTGTTTCAACTGTTATGACCTAATTAAAACAAAAGTGATATCATCGCCACTAAACCCCAAGCCTATGTTATATATCACATAGCACATCAATTTATGCTAAGTTACGTGCATACCACCGACCAGTATCTCGGTCATGGTATACGAACACACTTGAACGTTGATGGCGTACATTGTGTTGCCAGTTCTCATCTGTCATTGGATAATTCGTTTAAAACATACATCATCAAGTCATGCTTTTATCGTCTAATGAGCCAGTTATATTACATGAACACAATTAAAATGTTTAAACTGTAATTGATTGTTATGCATGGTCACGCAATTTAATAATATTTTCTCTAACTGGTCGTAAAATATTTTATTGATTGGCTAATATTGCATAATATAATAAGTTATGTTCATGTGCCCCCGAATTACCTATTTCCGTTGTAATACGAAAGGCATCATTATCAGTTCTCGGAATCGGATTGAGTGACAAAAAATTTAAAGATGGGTGTAATGAGATTGGCATTGTGTGAACACGTCTACTGACTCCCAAAGGCTATGTGGGCGTATAATTTACACGTATGCAATAGTTATAAAGACATCAAACTATTAGGTCATCATATGTGCGCATGCTCATCCATTAAGTTATGGACTGCATAACTATTCAGTACAAGTCAATGTCTATTCCACCCGTGAATATGCCATTCGTGCCGTGACATTACGCACGCAGGATAAGTGGAGTTTTCGGGTAGAATGCATAGATTGTGACGTTCAACTATCGGGTAGGATATTTCCCATTGCCCTTCCATGCATAAAGATATGTTTTGGCATTCATATGACCTTTGTACGGCGAACGTCAGCCAATCATCAACCTGCATCTGCCACACGTGTTACAAACAACCGAATACATTAAATAACAGTGTGGTAGAACAGTATCGCATAGAGAAGTACGACGTAACGGAACGTCGACGGAACTTACCAAACCCAATGCATTTTCAGGTATGACTTAACATGATGCTGAAATTAGCAATCACCAAATTACTGTTATGGATGCTGATGGCTGTGTTTATTTCGCCAGGCCTGACAACTACTGGAATTGTAAAACACAAACTGACCATTGCTGGTTTAGTGCCAGCGGACAGTGATGGCGCTTGGTCATGTTCCGGTATAATCCCAGCCATTGATATGGCTATCGTTGATGTGAACAACAGATCTGACATACTGACAGACTATGAATTGACATGGGATTGGAGAGACACTAAGGTAAGCCTCACATGAACGTCGTGTGTGTGAATCGTATTGGCAAGAAAACACCCTTCAATTAAACCAGCACAAAGTTAAATCCAAATAGTATATTATAGGTGACGCATCAACCTAACAATGAGATATTAGTAGTGAATATAGAGGGTAAAATACCTATATTACCTATATCTCAACACTATTTTACATTTAGCAATTAAAACATTTACTTTCCAAACTTGTTTGTTTACAAGTATTATTTTATATTTTTGGTACTATACCATGCAATTCAATAAATAACGAAGCCGGTGTTAGAAGGAAAAAAACAAACATACTCGTGTAAAAACTAAAATATTTAGTCGTTATTTACCAAAATCACTCCGGGGATAGGCATGGCTTGCCGTTGCTTTGAAATGCACAATAACACAGAGCAGCGGATATGAGGATATGGTTATTTTACAAGCTAAAACTATATCTGCCTTTTGTCTTGCGAGTGATTCTCTAAAGATGTGTCTTTCTTCAATTGACACGTGAGATAACCCTGCGGTCATTGCTGATAGATACTTGTTGATACCAGATGTGTGAGACTGTCTTATTGAATTGTATGTTTATTATAAGAACTTCCAACGATATATTACGGAAGTTGGATCTACTGTTGACGACCAAATTACGCTGTGCTGTACGGTAATTGCAGTTGCAAATTTCGTTCACGTGTATTACTCGCGGTCGTTTTGAGTCGGTACGGGAATATCAATTTTCGTTCCTTGGGATGTTTTCCGGAACCTAGTGTATAATTCTATCAAATAATAATGCTGATAGAAAATTTACTCGAAAGCCGATATGCTTCGCATACATCGTAGGTAACAATACGACGGCGTATAGAACCCAGTAGTCATAGTTATATTACTAGTTGTGCGTAAATCACTGATGTCGTTACGTTGATATACTTTACATTTGAAGAGCATTAAGTTCACAGTGGCAATAACGGAATGTCGGCGTGCAACAGCAATTACGTCCGACATATGAAATTCTGATTCAGAAGTGTATATACAGCGAAACGAATCACATGGTCCATTGAATACAAATGTTTCTTATTGTAATACACAGAAATTTAGTCTGACACCGAGAAGACATTAGTATTGCGTACATTTGAACCAAGTCGGCCGCGCCAAAACATCACAGAAGAGTTAAAAAT